ATCAATACAAAGCATTTACGAATTTTGGTTAATCAAAATTCTCATACACAAAGTAGAAAAACTTCGAAAACCGTTGACCTTTTATAAAGAATTTTCTTCTGGCAAAAATGTATCGAGTATTTAAAGCCTTAATATAAATAGATAATTTAGTAAATAATTTATTTGTGCTTTGTCATATTTAATCTTAGATTAATTCAATGTTGCTATTATTAGCATTGTATTTGATTAAATTTTATCGAGGAAATATTATTTTGTTACTCTTTGAACCACGTATCATTTAAATCTCGTACATTTTATTTGATAAAATTCATCAATCAATTGCATTGGAATTGCTGTAGGTGTGAAGAAAAAGTTAAAAAATAAAAGTAAAAAAAAGGAGACGTAAATGATCAATGTGTGGAGTTTTCAGTAAGTGTATGATCCCAATGAATGGCTTACGTAGCGTAGTCGAGTCATCTGGATCATCTGGAGTATCTAGAACGTATTGATCGCGGCTAAGCAGCTGTACTCTCAAGCTGACAGTAACGTTAGGGCGGCCGCACGGAAAATACACGTGTCACACGCTCTCGCGACGGGAACATCGTTATTGTACGAACGACAGGAAAACTCGAGGGAAAGTGCAAAGCCCTTTGCTTCGATTCGATCGAAACGAATCTACGGTGTTCTTGCATTTTATAAAAACTGAAAAAACTGGTGCTGAAAAGATGACGCTGAAACGAGATCTTTCCTTTCTATGTTGATTTGTTCAATAAATAATATAAAATTCGAGACATTCGATCATAAAAATTGTGGTTTCATACAGAAATAAGTGGTTAGAGTGTTTTGTTTTTAAATTGGCCGAATGCGTTGACATAGTTTTTTAATTATAAAAGCGTTATAAAGGAAGATTCAATGAAGATGCCAATCAGTGACAGTGAATCTTTGGAATTTTTATTAGCTCTGGTGTTTTACAGTTTCTTTTTCCATTATAGTGAAAAGTTTCGTTAAAATGCTGTAGTTTCGTTTTTAAGAAAAATATAGCATGTACATTTGTTAGTGTTAAAGTGTCGATCCATTGAATTTTTTGTAATTTTTTATTTTTATTTCAGTATTTGTGCAAATTTCGGAATTTTACTAATGATTTGCTAATAAAAATAGTGAGTATTTCTATTTGCATTCAAATTTTGAATTATATAACGATATAACGATATATATTTATATCGATAGATGAAACATAAAACGAATAAAATATTAGGAATTAGAATAAAAATAATTGAAATGATAACAATTTTCAAGGTCAAGATTAGCAGTATACTTGTATTCATATTTTTTTCAAATCGTAAAATAACTATGACTGACTTTTTACAAAATTTGATGCAACGTGAAACAGTCGATCGAAACTTTTAGCTTCGAAGGCAAATTTATTTTATGCTTATCTTGTCAACATGGAAGGGGGAACACCAAATGCTTTTTCGTCTATCTGTGAAAGATATAGTTTTATATAATACTGATATTATACTCACAAGTGATAACAAAATGTACACTACTATACTTAATTATATATATATTTAATTATATAATATCAAGAAATATTAAGAAATATTAATCTTCAATTTGCGGCAAGAAGCAAACTATATGTTCGTTAATCGTAAAATTATTTTTTTTTATTCTTCATTACGGAAAATGATACAAGTTTACATTCATAATGAAATTGGTAATCAATTTTACATACTATACTATTGATTTTTGAACTTTGACTGTTTTTATTAACTTAATAATTAACATTATTTTCTTTCTCCAGTGCGACAAAATATTTCATTCGTTTAAATGATAATAAATTATTTATATATTTTTTGTACAAGTAGATAATTCTTCTTTCTTGCTATCAATTTGTGAAATATCAGTTTTAAATATAAAATAAAGTTTTATTTATATTTTATTTAATGTTTGCAATATAACATGAAGTTTTTCTAAAAAATTTCGCTAATTAATCGAAAATATCTGTAACTACGAAAGTTCTCTCTTTTGTAAATACTAGTTTAAACGATAATACATTTACAACATCTTTATAACTATATATAAACTTCAACAATCTCTACGAGTGTATTTTTTTGTTGCAGTCTAACATCTCTCAGTTTCTTTATTTTATTAATCTCTTTTTTTCTGTTCATTGTTTGTTTTACTGCTCTTTATTCTATTTTTATGTTAATTAAATCGATCTTACAACAAATAACCATGCAATTTGAGATGAAAAATTTATTCTTCTGTTTCTTCTTATGTATTATTACTATTAAAAATTGTTTGAATGTGTATATAGTTATAAATTACGAACAATATTTTAACGGTTTTTATTGATATGTTTAATAACCTCCATTAATTATTCATATAAGGTGTCTCAAATCGTTCCGTAAAAAAAAAGAAGGTTACGTGAAAATATTATAAAAAGTTACGAAAAAAATAAGAAATAATAAGAAATTAACCTTTGGTTCGATATTATGATTGAAAATTATAACAGAACAATGAATATGAGACTAATTATTTCCAGGATTATCGTCGAATTACGATACGAAATTTTATAGTTAACTTTATAAAAAACAAGACGTTATAACTTTTAGTTGATATTTGGCAAAATTCAGAAAAAATCCAGGTGTAATAAGTTTTATCGATGGCAAACTTATACCGATATACTGTCAAGATATTTCGTATCCATAATTTAAACATTATGAATACTATGATCATATTTTAAACAAGAAATAACAATTATTTATAGTGAAGATACTAAATAAAATAAAGTAAGTACGATTAAGACGATGACTAAGACTATTTTGTACTGTAGAATCGATTGCTCTTAACTTTATCATAAAACGTTCATAACAAATTTTCATTAATATTTGCCCTTTTATTTCAATTTGTATTCGCATTTGTAGGTACATATTTTGTACATTTCGCTTTATTAATAGGTCTAAGTCGAAAGAAATTATTTTGTTATGTAGGTGTGAATATAATTAATACTTTAATACTTTATTAAGGTAAATGGAACAGTTTGCTGTTACTTTACAATAGTGTTACAATAGTGAGAAATAGATCATTAAATAATTGTGCGTTACAGAATGATTTGCATATAATCGGAGTAAACGTATACCCTGTGAGACGTTTCTTTCGCTTCTTTCGTGTATTCTTTATAACGTAACGAAAAAGAATCATCGTTTAAAACATTTCTTTTGAAATTTTTTCAACTTATTTTTCAATAGTGAACATAATATATCCTACAATCTATAATTTTTATTTTGTCCATTATATGATCATAAATTTCAAACTATTATTTTGTCCATTATATGATCATAAATTTCAAACTATATATTTTTCTATTAAATTTTTAACATTTAATACAAATATCCGGTTTTATATTTTTAACTAATAAAGGTATAATAACACAAATTGTACAAACACAGAAATTAATTAATATATAATGATCATCGATCAATCGTTTTCTGTGATGTGTTCGTATTATAATAATGTAATATATTCGAACAAATTTCGAATCTTTCGATTAGGTAATAAACGATGGATCAGACAAAATACATCGATTCATGGAACGAAATAAACATTTCATCAAAAGCGATTACTTACTCAGTGAAGAAAGAAGATCGTTGAGGATCGAAATCCTTCGAAAGAATTTGGATCGATTTTTGTGCTGAATTATTAAAATTATCAGCTAACGTTTCCACAAAATAACTGTGCGTACTGATTAAGCAATTATCCGTCCGACGAAGCAATCGTACGCGTGTCTTGGGTTTCATGGAGAAAAGTTGCTCAGTTAAGAAGATGATGCGAGAGACAGAGCACATTGGCTCTGTTTGCGCTTGTTAATCAGTTCAATTGAATAACGTATTAATACATCGGGGTAAAGGGTTAACCGCAATGTCCACGCCGGACACGATGGATACTATTGATGAAGCGGAGCAGGCGTGGCGTGAGTACCAGTAAAATTCACTACATTTTTCATCCTCTGTTATTTGTACAAATAGTTATACTTTAAACGTGTAATTGGTACTGAAAACAGTCAAATATTTTGCCAAATCCATGTTTGCAATGAATACCTTGCATATACATGCTTGCATTGAAACTTGTATGCATGTTTATCGCTTGTATATATATATATATATATATATATTTGCCACTCAAAAGTATGTAGATATTTGTACACTTTTGATAAGTAATGCGGTTTTTCTGAATTTCGAATAATGGAACTTGTTACCATAGAAGTTTTATATCATTGGAGTAGAGAATATAATGGAAAGGAATAAATTAAAAAAAAATAAAAAAAAGTTAATAATAATGAATTGCGTCATGTATACGAGTAATCTAATTATAATTGACGAAATTAAAAATAAAAACACCCAAGATGATTTTAATTTTTACTAAAGCTGTCGTATATTATGAATATTATGACACAATAAAATTTATATTTTAATGTCATTATATAGCAAGAAAATCTACATACCTAGAGGTGGTAGTTTCAAATTTATATTAGTAGAATTTTTTTGGTAGAATGTTTATCTCATTAAACATTTTAAGTCGTCCAATATAGGTAAACATTTCTTTGCTGTGCACAAATCAGTGAAGTGAACATTATGTTATGCAAATATACTACCAAAACATTTACAAGTTTAAAAAAATCTGATAAAACTAGAGAGTGAGTGTGTGTGTTTTGCGTCGACTTTGTATTCATAGAATAGCCTTTAAATATTTATAATATGAAAGAATTCCACAAAGTTTGTGATGTCCTATTACGTTTCGTTCGTTAAACAAGAATTTCCTTTTACAGACGAGATGCTGGAGTGTGAGACTGGGTCCCTGTTGGGCCGAGTCGCGGACCTCGAGAGACAATCCTTGGCACAGAGAGACGAGATAGTTTGCCTTCGCGCTACTCTAGCGGATGCGTTAAGGCGAATTGCCCAGCTAGAAGGACGCGAGAAAAGAGAGGATGAAAGAAATGAAAGGAGGAATGAAAGAATAGTATCCTCGCCCTTAAGAAACGGACATGTATCGCTTAGAAGTGAGTACATACTATAAACCAGAACCATTATCTTTACGCGAATCCATCCTTTGCAAACAACTTTCTAGCAAGACACAAAAATTCTCTATAATTTTACGTTTATTATCATCTACAAAAAATATTATAAATAGTGTCAATATTACAATAAATTTTGATGAGACGGCATCTATACATACACACAGGATAGATTGTTTTTCTTTTTTTTTTTTTTCCGTAACATGTACAATGAGTTAAATTTTCTTCAGATCAACTTTATCTCTCTGTCTTTCTTCTATGTATATGTTCAAATTATTTTGTCTAAAAGTTAAGTATTGTTTACAAACATAATCCAAATATCCATGATGAATCTCTAAGAATTTCTATGAATTTTTAAGATGTTTTTGATAAAGTCGACTCATTTATTTCACAAAATAAGTTGCTTTCTATTTCGAAAGTGATATTTCCATGAAATTTCTATTATCAATGACCGGTACAATAGAAATCAAATTGACTTAAATTTCAAACAATGCAATCGACAAATATCGACATTGCCGCATTTTATGCGTTGCACATAAAAAACACCTTATTCGTAATTGTAAGAAACAAAATTATAGCCAGTAAATGTATAAGAACGCAATAAACTAATTGTTAGTACATATTCCATGATGCAAAAACAGACATAGAAGCATAACGCGAAACAAACAATAGTTCCACATTGCCTACTCTTTCATTCATTTATTTAAATTCATATACATCGTTATTATTTTTTCTATTTATCTATTTAGAATCACGTACATCCTTTGAAATTATCAGCAACCATAACAGAGAAAGAATTGGTGAAAAAGAAATTCAAGTGGATATCGACAATTGTTTGTTAGAAATTGATTTTCTCTTGTGAAATTTTGAGTGAAGCGATTACTTTGTCAGGATAAGCAGTTGTCAAGATGAATAGAAAAGGAAATGATATAAATATTCGAAACACGAAAGATCATTTCGTAGTGTAGAATTCCAAAGTTTTGAAGATCGTTACGGAAGCCGTAGAGGCACATCGCGAATCGCAAATACGGAGAAGCCTCGTGAAGTTTAGCCCATTTGAAACAAAGTTCATCAGGTGTATCTGTTAGCACGCGACTGGTTAGAATTGTGTTCTGTTCCCTTCGTGTTTCATCGAGCAATTGGTACGTTTCCAAACGAATTCCGAGCTATTAGTTCTTGCAATAGAAATTGTTGGAATTTCAACTTTTTCACATAGTTAACACGTTCGTGACGGGCCGTACCACCGATGGTCTGTCCCATGGAACAGGGTGCGCCACCGATGGTATGTATATACCTTTTGTCGAGCCTAAATATCTTTTTATAAAATGATTATATTATGCGTTATTTGCGCTAATTTTATGACTGTCCCATTGTTCATGTATGTAACATGCAACTTACAATTTTACAACTGCTGTACCGTCAGTTGGGAAAAAGTACGAGATACGATAATAGAGCCGCCCCACGCCGAATAAAGTAAATTCAGACCCCGTCGTGGACGTGTAAAGTGAAAGAAATAAAATTAAATTTCCTCCTCTTTCTGCTTTACATTTCTCTTTTCTTTTCTCTCTCTCTCTCTTTCTCTGTCTCTCTGTCTATCTCTCTCTATGAAAGATCAATAATATGCTAAATCCCTGCTTAATATCCCGTATGTTATTAGGTAATCAAAATTCGACACCTGCGAAAGATATACGTTTACGACAAACTGGCAGCTCTTGTCTGAGAAATTCGTCTTCGTCAGGATCTTCTCAGGATGTCCGAGATTCGATTTCAAGTCCACGGAGACCAGTCAGTTACACGCATTCCTCGCAACTTCCTCAAAGGTAATACAATTTTATACTTTTTAACCGTTTAAGTGCTACGCGGTTTTGCAAAAATCTGGTCGAAAAATGCCAAATGATGCAATCACGTTTCTTTCGTTTCATGTTTAAAAATGCCAAGCGGTGCAATGACGGCAAAGTTTTCAATTTAGTAGAGTCTCGCTAAGCGGTAACAATAAAGTTACTACACATCGACAAAATCCAATCGTGCAGTTCGAATCTATGCCCATGAATTGGCACTTTTAGGTAGTGAATAGAAATGCGATCGTGCCGTCTGATACTCAAACGGTTACATGAAGTGTTCAGAATAGATCAAATTTCTTTTTCTACGATTCGATTAATAATTCGAATAATAATTCTTCCATGTTGCGTGTACTTAGGAGAGAGTCACATTGTGCTTTATTATATCTTGTGTTTTTATTATATCTTGAACTAAAGTCGGCAACTCAAAATTTCAAAGGGAAAAAAAATTTTCAAAATTTGTGATTTAAATGGAATTTTATAAATAGAGGAGAATTACTTTTGTCAAATTTATTAGAAAAAAGTTTTTAATTCGCAAAAGTAAAAAAGTTGTAATTTATAAAAACGAGAAATTATTATGTACTGTCGGTTTATTATTATAATAGTAAATTTTTAGATCTAAATGTGTTACAATGATAATAGAAAGATATTTAAGGATAATTATTACAGTAGAAAATTTTTATTCCAATGTTATTTTTACGAGCATCATAAATGACACAATCACTTAACTTAATTTTCTTCATTTGTGTATTCGATGTATATATAACTAATTTCGTTTCTTTTTTTGAAATTTCAGATATATTTTTATGGAGAAAAATAAAAGAATAATTAAATGAAATAAATAAATAATTTCAATTACTAACAGTTTAAACTTTTGATTTGTTCTTTATTGATATAAGACTTTATCGATACTACATAATAAATATATGAAAACATTTTAGATCATGGTGTATTATACATAACAAATTTTGCAAAATGGAGACATTTTACTACTAGACAGCGTTGTTTTATAAATTTATGAAAAATTAAAGGATACAAAAATGCGCATGATGTAAACAATATGGAAAAATACATAAAATATTTATATAATATAATATTTTCTTGTAATAGTTAATAGATAAATTAATTTTCTATCTAGGTTTCAAGTTTTAAATTATTTTTATAAAAATATTTATATACATTTATACTTAATAGACTAGAAATAACATACATAATAGAACAAAATCATTTAGGTACATGCGTGAAAAATGAAAGATCAGCTTTAAAGTAACTTCTAGTGAATAATAACGTATATATTTAATGTCTTGGAATATCGATAACAATGGAGTAAGTAATGTGGCTCCAAATTATGTTATGCAGAGTTATAATATGACACATTATTCATTTAAATGTTAATGTCTGTAAAAAGTGAAAACTAATTTTAGTCGATACTGCATGACTCTTCCTTATTTTGTGACTTACGTTATACAAAATATCATACAAAATATCAAGTGATTTTTGGTACGAATTCGTTAAAGTGTGGAGTAGACGAAGCAGAATGAATTTGATTTTCAGAAGGTCAGTTCATTATCAATCAACGGGTTCGTTACACTCGGACAGTCCCAGTAGTAGTAGTGTTTCCCCGGTGCCATCGCCAAGTCCTAGAGCCACGCCACTGCCAGTAGCCAGGTACATGTTCTTCAACGAAATTCATACATTTTCTCTCTATAGTTTTCTCGTTTAAAGATTTGAATAAGGTAATTCTGACATAGGAAATGATAATTCACGATAATAGCAGAAAATAACAATTTTCTAAAAGAATGAATCGAAAACGATACAGTCGTTGAGTAAAATACATTACCTTTGTATGAAAAATTTACTATGAAAGAAAAAACAAATTTATCAAATTTATTAAATTTACTCTGTAAGATTATGTAGATATTCATTTAGATATGCATGCTATCGGATACAATTTTATTGATAATAGTATCTTGCTTAGTGATGTTCGCTTGTGCTCGTGTTTGCAAATGAATTTAGCGATATGTATTAAAAATAAATTTCTATCTGAATAAATATTAAATACTAGAGATACTTAAGTCGGGCAACGATCGGGTCGAATTGGGTGACATATTGAAAATTTGCCTAACACTCGTAATTTCGGGATCCGAAACTTAATTTCATACAGTCGTGTAATCGGACATAAGAATTCTTAAGAAAAGAAAGTATTACACAATTATATCTCGAATCCAATATCGGGTTTTGAAATTATGGGCATCCAAACATATTTATGTTTTAGGTAAACTTTCGAGAGCTTGCGTAACCCGATTCGAAAATTATATAATCTGCCTTGACTCGTATTTTCGGATATCTGCATACTTTTAATAAATGCCTCTGAGAAATTATTTTCTTTGACATCCTTTTGTAATGAGATTGTACTAATATATATATATATATATATAT